TAGATGCCCATGGAAGTCAGAAGGCCTCTGAGGCCCTGTAAAAAGAGTTATAGCTGGTTGTGAGCTACGAATGTAGGTGCTGAGAACAGTACTTAGACTCTGTGAAAGAAAGAGCAGCAAGTGCTCTTAACTGCTGAGCCATCTCTTCATGTCATCAAGCACATTTTTAAAGACAAACTCTTAATTGAAAAGCAAAGATTTTATTTTTAAATCTATTAAATTGGTCCTGGTGGATTTCACTGGGATCCCATCTTACGCCTTTCTACCTATGGCTCCTTGTAGTTTAATTTGATTCCTACCGTCAGAAAAAGCAACAAGAATAACTGAATAACTACCAATATACATTTCCTTACTTATTGGCAAAGTTAACTAACTTCAGGGACTATGGTGGGCCAGCACTACTCTAATTATATTAGTTTTGTTGGAAAGGAATGATTCCAGGTCACTCTTTTCTTTTAAATATCATCAAGTTGTCACAGAAGTCAGGAAGGAGAATTTTTTTTAAAAATGAAACAATCATCAGATGAAAGCCCATCTAGATCCCTTCCAAACCTTACCCACATTAAAATAGAGGGAAATGAAGGAAGAACAGTGTCCCAAGCCATTCATTCTGCTGTTTTTCTCATTCAAAGAATCAACACTCCCATCAATAAAAGGAGAAGAAAAATCAAGGCAGTGTGTGTATTTATCTGTGACAGGAGTACATTACAATTGCCCAGTAGAAGGAAGCACAGTGAGATAATGGCGGAGATAGGCAGCAATTTCTTTACCAAATATAGCTCTCCATTTTTCTACCTGAGCTTTTTCACTCCCTCCCATCCACCCATTCATCCACTATTAAATCTGTCAGTCTGTTGACCTGTCTATCATTGCATCTGGTCCCCTGAAAAAGGGACTTGGATGCCTCTATGCTGCCATTTGATTTAAGCTGCAACCTTGGACTTCTGTCTTTGCACCACACAATTTTATCCAAAGACCCTGAACGATTGTAGTATAAGTTACCTCGTTGATTCTGATGCCCCCGCTCCAATTCCTTGAGCGGATCTATCTTAGTTATGCTTTTGCATATTTTGCTAGACCCACTTACTTCCACAACAACTTTAACAAAAACAAGAAAACTTGTATTAGTTCAACTGAGCCCACCCTCAATATCTTAGCAGGTTGCTTATCTCCTATCAGATCTTCTTGACTTCTACTCACCCTGTCCCACCTCTTATGACATCATTGTGACTTCTGACCACCCTGTCCTGCCTTCTGTCATATCCCTATTTCTTGGTTCCAGGCTGCTTGGCAGCTCAGGCGAAAATAATCACACAGAAACTATATTATTTAAATTACTGCTTGACCCATTAGATCTAGCTTCTTTTTGGCTAACTCTTACATATTAATTTAACCCATCTCCACTAATATGTGCATCACCACAAGATTGTGGCCTACCAGCAAAGTTTCAGTGTATCTGTCTCTGACAGCTCCATGGCTTCTCCCTCAATTCTGCCTCTTTTCTTTCAGCATTCAGTTTAGTTTTCTCCTCCTACCTAAGTTCTGCCCTATCAACAGTTCAAGGCAGTTTCTTTATTAACCAATGGTATTCACAGCATACAGAGGGCAATCCCAATTCACCTGCGACTTCTGAGCACCCTGTCCTGCCACTTGTCATGTCAATGTGTCTTCTGCTTACCCTGCCCCACCGCCTATCATATCCACGTGACTTCTGGTCACCCTGTTCTATCTCCTGAAAGAATGGCATTAAGTTAATTTAACTAGAAACCCCTCAGTCCTGAGGTATCATTTTGATAAGAAATAAGATTGAATTTAAGTCCTCAACAATATTTTTTTTTACCCCTTTGCACTCTGCATCTTGGCCATAAGCTCCTTTTTCTAACTGTACCCTTAACTTAGCCCAGTCTTTTCATATCACTTCTTGACATGTTCCAGTAGTCAATAACTTATTTTCATAATCTCAACTATTGTGATCCTGCTTTTTAAGAAAAATGTTTATTTTACTTTCAATATGTATGTATGTATGTATGTATGTATGTTATGAATGTCTGTGTGAGAGTATGCTCATGCATGCATACAAGTGTCTGAAAAGACCAGAAGAAGTCATCAGATTTCCTGATATTGGGGTTGTAAATGGTTATGAGCCACCTGATATGGGAGGTAGGAAATGAACTCAGCAAGCCCCACACATGCTCCTAATTGCCGTGTCATTTCTCCAGACCCCTTTAGTTTAGTTTTTTATTTTAACACAGTTTTTTTTTTTGACATACTGTTTAGTGTTGCCTGGGCTGCCCTTAGAACCATTACATCATCCAAAATGACCTTTACTTTTTGGGCCTCTTGTTTCTTCCTCCCCAATATTAGGAAGCAGCCATTTTCACCACATCCAGTTTCTGCAGTGTGGGGGCACAAGTCTAGTGCTTTCTGTATGCTATTTAAGCATGCTATAATGAGCTTCATTCCCAGGCAGATGATTATTATTATTGTTATAAAGAACTGGAATATTCAAAAAACAAAATTCTACAAGCTCATTAATCTTTTAAGGTTCTTAGTATCAATCACTTCATGATGATTTCTGTTTTATTGCACCATAACTCTAGATAGGTAGGCGGGCATTTTTATCTCTTTCTTTCAAGTTATAAAATTGAGGTACAGAGAGGTCAGAATCCAAGAAAATGAACAGGAAAACCAAGGTCTCCTAATTTCCAACCCCAGGGCCTTGCATAAAGATGAGGGCAATTCTCTGGGAGTTTCGAATGAGAATGTTATTGATGGCTTCAGGATAGAAGGGGTCTGATATATTTGGCCTTGAATTGAACAGTGCATCCAGCACCATGCTAAGTAATGTGAATTCAGGAATACAGAAGAAATCCTCAGAGCTTTCAGCATGAAAAGTTGACATGGAAGAGAAGAAACAAGCTCAGGCTGGCTTCTAAGTTTGCAATCAGAAAGGGCTAGAACAGCCACCTTGTAACTGTGTGACTTTGAATAAAAAAACATACCCAAATAACTGGCATATTTTTTGTGTAGAATGTTAGTCTCATTGCTTGCTATGTGCGATGGGCTTGTATAAAAATTTCAGCATTTAATAAGGCAGGCTCCTTGCTTTAATCTGCCTACTGCAAAGTTAATCTTTAGCATCTGCCTTATACAGATCTTAAATGATGATTGAAGAAATGTAGCATAAACAGATGTATAATGGAAACATTGTGGATACACAAAATTAGATTCTATCATAAATATGTGTTACATAAATGCTGTAGACTATGACTTTCAAAAGAAGCAGGAAAGAAAAAAATGGAGCATTTTGACTTTTCAAACACAAACAAAGTATTTCTAAGTTTTAGTTTGTTCTGAAATATTGTAAGAGAACAGGAATACATCTACTTTATTTCTCTCTACCTCTTCTCTCTGTAGAACAAACACCCAAGATTCCAAATTATTATGGACATTGTAGGTAATGGTGCTAGAAGGACAATTTTTCATTTAATTGCATTCCCAGGTAAGACATTGCCATGTCCCTCTCATTCACTCTGGGGGGTCCAGAAGAGGAAGAGGGTAGGCAGTGCTTCTTCAGGGACGCTCAGGCATCTGGTTTTCTCATTTTATCTCCTGTTTATGCAGAACAGTATTAGTTAGCTACCCCTGGGTCTTTCCCCAGCAAAATCATTCTTTGCTTTTCTTTTTCTGGTCTAATTTGTTGACAGAATGTGAACCCATGAGCATGCAAATTGTAAATTGGCGATAGGATTGGGGAAATCCACAGGTCTTTTCCTAGGGCTTAAAATTAAGTTCTACTTCTACGCAGATTACTAGAGAATTTTCCATCAAGAATTGTCCATGAGATATGGGGAAATCTTGCCCTAAGTGCTTCCCTGCTATTCATTTCCGGTTTCCTCCTGTAGGTTAGTAAAGCTCTGGGTACCACCTAAAGGAGGAATAGCAATGTGTGTGCCTGCATCAGTGTCTGTGTGTGCCTGTGTGTGTTCATGTGTGCCTCTATGTGTACACCTGTGTATGTTTATGTATGCCTTTTGTTCCTATGTGTGTGTGTGTGCTAGTAGGTGTCCATGTTGGCCTGTGTGTGCACTCTGTGTGCATGCCCATGTTTGTGTGTGTATATGTGTGTTCTTGTGTGTCTTTGTGTAACTGTGTGTGTGTTCATGTATGCTTTTGTGTGTATGTTTGTGTCTACTCAGTCATGTGTGCTCATGTGCTTGAGTTTGTGTGTCTGTATGTACATGTGTTTATTTATGTGTTCACGTGCCTGTGTGTTAATGTATACCTGTGTATGTTTGTGTGTATATATAAAAGTGTGCATGTACGTGTGTGTTTATGCTGAGAGGTGAAAGCTGTGGGACCTTCCTGATGCACCCTGGCCAACATAACTTTGACATTACAATTCTTACAATGTCTATTTGTGTTTTTTTTTCTTTTTCCTTTTCTCCTCTTCACTTTCCTCCTTCTACTTTTCTTTTGGGAGGGAAGACACCACTCCAGTGCCACCTGACATGTGCCAAAACAGTCCCTCAGAATAAATCATTTGCTCCCTGAGAGGCCACTAGTAAACAATGAGCCCAGACTTATATACCAACTTGATGCCTTCTGTATTATTTCTCTCTTTTATACAGTTTCTTCTCCCCAGCCTCTAACTTGGCCAGCACTATTGTCCTAATAACAAATGTACTTTGTTAATTTTCCTGACATAAAAAACAATAAGCTCAAGTATGGGATTTGATTCAAGATCAAGCAAGTTTTAAAGTGTTACATAAACTGAAAATAATCCAATATGAATCATGTCTTGGAAGAAAATATGTAACCCATCAGAAACACTATGGCAAATGGATGAGTTTATCCAAACAGTTCTCCTATTTTCCTTACTATGTTATATGTAGTTGTGCATGACAGTCACAGAATCGAGTTCTTGGAAAACAACCACATATTAATTGTACACTTTTCTCACAGTGAAGAGAAGAATCATTGCATATCAAAGCACTTACCGCTGCTTGCCGATGAGTGTTAGACAATATCCCATGAATCTTCACTTTGTCTTTCTCCATTTGGTCGATGTTCACCCACAGATCTCGGCTGGCAGAGTCTGTTGGACCATATATCCGAGATATGTAGTAATTGTGATCTGTGTCCTCCTGCATTGGTGGAGAATGACGAACATTAAGAACTGTTTCCGCTAATTTTATTTTTAATAGTTCTTCTGTAATTAAAGATTTCAGTGATCTCTAATCTAGCAAATGGTTTAAGTAGAGTCATAGAGAAGTGAATTGAAATAAAAATTAAATATGTAAAATAAGTTATTTTCCTTAAAAGAAACAGTTAAATACAAAAACTTACAATCAGATTTATATTCTGTACACTATATATTTCTTTTTGTGATAGTAATAGTAGACATTTAACTGCTGACAAGACAAAAACATCTGATTTAGAAATATTTAGTGAAGATCTGAGCATAATTACATTGAGCAACAACAAAATTAATTTATTCTTTAAAAACATTATATTTGGGACTGAATTTAGTTAATAATACTAGAAATTCAGATAACTGCGTAATTTGGGTTAGTAAAACCTACTTTTATTTGAATTCTCATTATGGGTCTCATTACAGTGCTTTGTAAAGGGATTTTATTTCTCATGCTTCCAGCTCAATGGGGAAAGTGAATGTTTTAAAAGCATATGACACTTGGATAATGCAGATCATATACATGTATTAGTCACAAAATGCAACGATGTCTATGAGGGGCTTGGAGATGGCTCATTCATGGATAAGTAAGCATTTGCCAGGAAGCATGGCACTCTCTGTTTGGGTCTCAATTACCCAATAAAAGTCAGACATGTCACATGCATCATTTTAAGAGATATTTAATTTCATGTGTAATTATATGCATTTATATTCACTTTTTATATGTATTTTGTCTGACATTTTGGTGAATATGTGCAAAGTGAATAGAGAAGATTTTCTTTGATTTGGTCAATAATGTTTTGGAAGTGAATTCTGTCTAATACATTTATTATCAAAGTGTTTCTAGAATAAAATTGAGGTACCAAGCCATTCAGTCAAAACCAGAATCTCAAGTATGTCTTCACAGATCACCAGGTCAACGTGTACAGAAACTGATTATAGAAAATATAAGAAGGCTCATGTCTAACCAATATTCAAAGGGATTTTGCATCATTCCTAAAAGAAATAAAACAATTTAAGAAAAAATATTGAAGGGAACTGATGTAAACCAGAAATTGAGTTTTTATTTAATAAAATTTATAAGAAAAATTTTAGTTAAGTTTTGGGTGCAAGAAATTTCTACAGACATAGAAGAATATAGGAGACTAAAGGACATGGGAATGAGATGTTCTAAAGCTGGGATGATGGGCAGCCTTGTGAATTTCCAGGTCTTTCTTTCACAGCGTCATGACAAAATGCATGAGGACCAAAACATTGTGATGTGTCTCCTAGTGTCTGCTGCTCTCCTGCTGGGACCTCTTCACAAGAAGGAGATTGAGCCATGCTATTTTACCAGTCACAAAAAATCAGTGGACATGTGTAAGCATCAGTGAAAGATTGGTTATTGGCAAGGTGTTTAGAAGCTCATAGGATGTAAGGTCCCTTCTTCTGATTATGGGATATCGAAGTGAGATTTGGCACAGTTGCCATTTTGGCATCATGGAGAGACTATGAAAATAAAAGTAACACACAGAAAGGACAAAATGGCAAACACTAACGGAGAAGCTTTCTCTCTGGCTATGTTTACCTGCATGTGATTGTCTGAATGCACTTGTTCAGCTGCTTTTATCATACCTCACCTTAATAGAGGAATAATGATATAAAAAGCTTGGCTCTTATTCATAATAAAATGTAAACAAGACAGAAAAAAATGATTTTAAAGACCTTTGAGGTCTTGGTAACAAACACATACTCAATTTTTGCATTCTACAGAGTCACCGAGCAAAAACGGAGCCTTACATAACTTGCCCAAAGGTGTCAGGTCTGAACAGCAAATAATGCTAACTTATTTAGTTTTAGTGAGTATTAGAAAAGATGACTTTGGAGAAAATGTTCAATGAATGATAATTTATTACGAGTTTATTATAAACTGGAATAAGCTGAGTAAAACTAACGTGTACAATACAATACAATAGGCATACTGTGTAACTGATTATATGATGTGGTAAAATTCGTATGAAATTAGTAATTCATAAACTTTCACCAATTAAGAATAGAGTTCGGTATAAAGGTAGAAGTCAATATTTAAAAGAATTGGTTTTTCTCCTAAATCTCTGTAATTCTTTTTTTTTTTTTTTTTTGGTTTTTCGAAACAGGGTTTCTCTGTGGCTTCTCTGTAATTATTTAAACAAATACTTTTTTGTTATCATGATTAATAACAGTATAACAAGGTAATGAATTATCTGAAAAATTACGCAAACTTTGGTTGCTACACACACACACACACACACATATATATATATATATATATATATATATATATATAATTAAAGGAATGGTCTCAACTTCAGCTAAGTTGGAATTTTTCAAAACAATATCAGGTCTTGAAAACACTAAAGTTAAGCTAAAGACTTAGTACTGACTTCTATAGCTCAATTTTGCCAAGTTGCCATGGCAACTTTTATTCAAAGATAAAAGCAATTTATTGTTTACCTAGGAAAGGAGACACACAAATTGTTAAACCCCAGAGAGGCATTTGTCTCAGGCACTCAGAAAAGCTATAAAATAGATGTCTCAAAAATGTGAGATTTTAGCATCAATAAATTATTCAAACTACTTTTTGTCATTTTTAGGCATAATGACTCTTCGAGAGTTATTGAAAGTCACTTTGGGCACAAAGATTTTTATTTTCTCCTCTAAGGCAAAACTATTTCTAATACCAGAGACAATAAAGCAAAGCACTACTGTGAGGTGACGACTTGCCAATTCATTTAGGAAACCAACTGTTACTGAAAGTAGACGGCTCAGTGGGTGACTCCAAATGCTATAAACTCAGGTTGTCAACAACTGCCTGCAAATCTGCAGCTGTAGCGAAACACAGTGCATCCTCCAAAACATGCAGTGGATGACTCGCCATAGCTACAGGCATCCAGCAAGAATCAGTCTACACCATCCAACCTCAGTGTTCTCTTCCTCCATGGCTGTTAAGCAATATCACTACACACAGTATTTATGGATTATTCATATTTCTAAATGCAGCAATGACATCTGGATACCAAGTGTATTTCGTTGAGAACTGCAGGAAATTGAGAACTTATTGTATAGCCATCCATGTGCTAAGAATTTGATATCTGAATTCATTTAAATAATCAAGGTTTCCAGGTAAGTCATATAGTGCTAAACATAAGGCTACCACATAAATATTAGTCTATAATAGATAGGATTGTAGTGCTCCTTACACATGTGGAGGTGTATTTTATTCTTTTAAGAATGTTTTGACAGTGGGCGGTGGTGGCACATGCCTTTAATCCCAGCACTCGGGAGGCAGAGGCAAGAGGATCTCTGTGAGTTCGAGACCACCCTGGTCTACAAAAGCTAGTTCCAGGACAGGCTCCAAAAGCTACAGTGAAACCCTGTCTTGAAAAACAAACAAAAAATAAGAATTCTTTCTCATATGATTATTATTTATTTAAACATAAAGTTATTTTAAATACTATGTGTGTAAATCATACTTACAAGAAATAAATTTTACAAACGAACAACAGGCTAGTTCTATGTTTAATACGAAAGTAAGGAGTATGATAACATAGCAAAACTGAAGAAAGAACATAATGAGAGTATGAAAAGAAAAGAAAACTTGTGTGAAAGCTAAGTGCAGTCCTACTTTGCCCACATAGCCTTGCCTTGGGCATCAAAGAGCACACCACTCTAGGACAGATGCAATGGGATAAACATTGATGGCCTTGCTTCAAAATTTTTATGTTAAAAATTCAACTCCCAGCATGCTTATAATTTTCTAGAGGGTCTTAATGAGGGTAGTTAAGGTTAAACAATGCCATAATTGTGGAAAGTGGACAAGACAAGATTGGTACAGATAAAAGGAGGCATGAATATTTTCTCTCCCTCTTCTGGTTGCTTCCTTCCACACCTCTTCTCATCCCTCAATCTCCCCCTTTCCCTCATTTTCTCTCCTTCCTTGGGAAAAGTCCACATAATTTGCAACACAACTGTATACTGTGAATTTTCCTGTGATAATTTCTCCCCTCTTCTCTTCTTTGGCACACATTTGCTAGAACCCACTAAATGCTTCGAATACCCTAGACCTCATGGCCATCTCCTAAGTGCTAGCTTTCTCATTATAGGTGTGAATCACGGCATTTGGCTCAAAGAGCAATTGTATAGGTATCCAAAACAGAAAAGTCAGATTATAAAACAGTAAGAAAACATTGGATAATCTAACAGCATCATAACATTTCATGGAAAAAGCATCTATAAAACTTTGGAAAATGAACTTGTGACTCAAATGTTTTCCTCTATCAAGTTATATTTTAAATACAAGGTAGTCTCTTTCTAATAATGTAGATATAGAGAAAATATATCATCAATGTGAAATTCTGGAACATGTAATACCTACTTTCATATCAAACAGGGGGTAATTAAACTGCCCATCACAGTGATTCCAATGAGCAATTAGCTGTGTGAAGGCCAGGCTCTGTGTAGGCATGCAGAAGCTATGGCCAAAGGTCTGATGAAGAGTACTGACTCTGTGACAAGAATATTTCAGAAAAGGTAACATGCAGTCACTAAAATTATAAGGAGGCATATAATTTCTTTCCATCATGAATATATAATAATAATTTTCAAATTGTTATGTACTGACTGTGAAATGCCCCTCACAGGCTCATGTCTAGAATGTGTGTTCTGCAGCTGATTGCACTATTTGGTAAGCTTGTGGAACCGTTAGAAGATGAAGCTTAAATGATGGAAGTGTGTCTCTATGGGCAGCCCTGTGTCCTGCCTTGTCTGCCATTTCCTGAGCCACTAAGATGGAACGGTCTCTTCCACATGACCCTGCCCCATGAAGTGAGATGCCCTGTCATTCCTTCACTGTTAAAATGAATTCATGTCCTACAAAACAATGACCCAAACAAGCCTTTCCATGGGTTGTTTCTGTTTCTGTTAGGCATTGTGATC